AAGGTAAGGTTTATGTGGAAAGTTTATGTAGAATACATTTGATTGGTTCCTAGGGATAGGCACTGGGTATAGTTGGTAATAGTGATAAATTTTTGGTTCGACCAGTGGAATTTCTAAAATGAAAGTAACCACTAAACCTTTTGAATAGCTTTTAATATTCATAATTCTTTCAAAGGTTAAGATGTTTTCAATTTTTGTTTCTATCGGTAAACTTTCAATTTGCAATTGAGTTTTCAGTTGTTCGATCTCTTTTATTAGTTCGCTTGGATTGATTATTGAATTGTGGAGCACATTTAGTTTTGCAAATGATATAGCAACTTCTGTTGCCTCTAGAATGTCAAAGATTGTTTGGTAGATCATTGATATTTGATTTATTATTACATGAGTTCTGAAATACTGAGAATCACTGTTGGCGTGTAGAGCAACATCAATTACAGTTTGCTGAATTTGCAAAATTCTAGATTTTAATACAAGAAATATTTGAAATAACACCGTTAAATTTTTGGATAGTGTTGTAACAATGTTATTTGATTGATTGAAGATTATTTCAGTTTATTCTGATTTTCTTGTAACTGTTTGATTTGTTTATCAAATTTATCAGCATCTGTTTGATCCAAGTTTCCTGTTATGCATTTTATTACACTTCCTAAGGGATCTATAATTCCGCGTTTTTGTCTTTGCGTATAATCGATTGGATTTATTTGATTTAAACTAGTTTCGATTCTTTTCTCTAAGTTTAATAAGGGCAAGAATTAATTTCTATATTCTTTGTTGTAATCGGTAATATTTTCAATTTGTTTAATTAGTTTGTTAGCAAGTGTCTTTATTGAATTAAACTCAGAAGTTACTGGTGAATATGGACTAATGACCAGTAGTTTGTCAATATTTTTGTGGTACCTAGTTTATAAGGGAGTATGCCTGGGTATTCGTTTAGGTTGTTGAGTTTTACTCCGATGGCGGCGATGCCAAAAAGTCTGATCCATCTGTAACAACGGGTTTTATTTTAGTCTCGTTGATGTGAATAATTTCTTTTCGTTTAGTTTCCGCGTTTTCAATTTCAATTCTGTTATTTTCTAGAATTTGGGTTAGTGTGAAAGGTCCAATAAATTTATTTTTGAGCTTTCCTATTCGTTTGTCTAGTTGTTTATATACTTGAGAACCAACTATTAGGGTTTCAGATTTCTTGCCTTGAATTAGTTTGTAAATTAGTTTTTCCTTTGCCTTTAGAGATTTTTCTTGAACTTTATTGTATAAAGCTTTGGTGTTTATTTTATGTGTATTTACGTATTCTGTGTAAATATGAACAGGTAATAGTTTCATTGGGTCTTGTGTGTCTGTATGACCTAGTACTAATTCGTATGGGGTGAATCCGGTACTTGAATGTAAAGTGCTATTATAAGCTACTACAGCATAAGGCACTAATGTAATAATGTGACTGTTTTTATCTTTTTCTTTCAGAATTCTCAGGTGTTCAATTAATGTAGAGTTTAGTCTTTCTACGGGTCCATTAGATTCGTGGTGATGTGGTGTTGTAAAATGTACCTTAATGTTATGTGATTTTAATAGTCCGCTAACTACTTC